TATTACTCAGCCCTGAAAAGAACTTGAAAAACACGTGGCAGCGTAAGGGGAGCTTGAGCACATTATGCGAAGTGAAAACCCGGCTACAAAGACGGTGTGTGATTCCCCTGGCGGCGTGGGAACCGGGGGTCAGGGGCGTCCCTGCTCAGTAGGGACGATGTGAGCTCTGGAGATGGACGCTGATGACGGCCCTACGCCACGAGCACATTCAGCATCGCCGCTGTGAAGTGAACGGTCCAGGTGGTCCGTGTTGTGAGTTACTTTACCACAATTTAGACAGTCAGGAAAAGGGCCCCCCCTGGTGAGGCAAGGGGTTAAAGCGCAGACTGTGAAGCCGTCCACAACCACTGCAGCTCACCAGTTCAGTCCCCAGTCAGGGAGTGACCCACAGGACGCGGCAGACCTCTCCTGACCCGCCCGCTGCTCCCCTCAGCAGTGCGTTCCTTGGATCCGCCTGTTCTGCTCCCCACTCTGCCTCTGGTGCATCCTCTCACCGCCCCCGCACCTCTGCCCTGTGCCCCAGTTCCTATATGCATAGGTAAATAAATCTTAAAAAAAAAAAAAAAATCAGGGAAAAAGTAACTCGCCATCCAGGACAGAGACCTGAAGGCCCCAAGTCCAGAAAGACCCGAGGGCCTCAAGAGGCCAGCAGCAGGGGTCCGTCAGACTGGGCCCTTTATTTAAGGGGATTCTGCTTCCAGGTTTATTCCAGTTTTGCTGGCAAAATCCGGCTCTGGGGGCTGAGAGAGGGGCGTCTGCTGGCCGCCGGTGACCTCCCGTCCCTACAGCCAGGGCGACACCGGCTCCCGCTCACGCTTCCCCGCGAGGCTCCTTCCCGCCCCTGCGCTCTGTCGCCCGCACTCGCTCTCCTGTGCAGGGCTCCCGCTCACGCAGCAGGCCTGGCGGCTAACCTGCCCGTCGAGGTCAACTGACGCAGGGCTCCAGCTCCACCGCGAGACCCCGTCCGGGGCCCGGACCTTCGTGCTGGACAGGAGAGCCTCCAGGGGCCCGGCCTGGCCCGCGGGCGGGCGTCGCGCTCCCAGCCGAGGGCAGCTGACCTGCCCCCACACCGATGCTTCTAGTTTCCACCCAGCCAGCGTTTGCGGTGCAGCGAAAGCCGCCCGTAACCGAGACGCTCGCCGCTCGCCGCTGTGGTGGCCGGAGCCGGCCGGGACCGAATGGCCGCGCAGGAGAGCGGCAGCCCCATGACAGAGGGCGGGAAACGGGGCGAGTGGACCCAGCCAGACCGCACGTGGGGCCGGGGCCTCAGAGTGACCGGCCAGCAGCCCCCTCCTCTCCCCTCAGCCGGGGCTCCGGCAGCCGAGCTGGCGAAGTGGCCAGTCTGCACTCAAGCCCAGCGCCCTGCGGGCAGCCGTGAGGCCCTGGACGCCAGGCCCTGGGGGGACAGCGGCCACGACCACTGAGCGGCAGGACGCCACCCGGCCACCTCGGGGGCGTGTGACTTCGAGGCCCCGCCTGTTTCCACCTGGCCGCCAGGACAACAATCAGGTAGAATAACAAGAACAGCTGACCCAGCTCTGCTGGCACGCACCTGAGGCTCAGGTGTGCCTTCTCACCGGCCAGGTCCTCCGGGGACTGGGCCCCGGGCACCACCACCACCACCACCCCCACCACAGAAGCCCAGCGACCCCCACTGGGCAAATGCCGCACCCCCTGGGGTGCAAATAGCCAAGTGAATAGGCGCCTTCACACAGCAGAGCCTCCCGGGACATTCCTGGGGGGAAGGGGGTAGGGGTGGGGTCTCACGGGGCTCAAGACTCCTGGCCAGGGCTCAAGACCTGCAGGCGCACCCCAGCCAGGCAAAACTCTGCAGCCCCTGTGGCTCCGACGGCACCGTCACCCCGCGCCCCCCCTGGGCCTGCTCCTCCCCTTCCCACCTGGCTGGAGGCAGGGGCTGTGCAGCCGCCCGCAGGGTCCCCGCCTGCCCGCCTGAGCCTGATTCAGTCCGCAGGGTCCCCACGGCCCCCAAGGCCGCCCTGCCCTGCTCCCAAGTCGATGGGGGAGAGGAGGCGCCCCCCACCGCCATGGCGGGGCCGCGGCTCGGACACAGTCACCTGAACTTTCCACCCGGCGTTCCCGGCCCCCACCGAAGGCGCCCGCAGGCCTGACCGGCCCCTGGGGTCCTCCTGCTCCCGCCTCCTGCCCCCCACCTGCAGCCCCGGTGGGGTGCGCTCCGCGTGGGGCCCGCGCCTACCTGGCTCCATGGCGCGAGCGGGTGCAGTGGCTGGCAGGGCGGCCGGGTTTGGGTTTCGGGCATCTCGGGTTTCCTGGCAGCGGCTGCCGGTTAATCATTGACGCTGGGACCCAGCCTGGGCCCACAGGGGGCAGGCGCGCCCCCTGCTGGGGTGCAGGGTCGGGGAGGCACTGCCAGGGGCCGCTTGGAGGCTGCCCGAGCCAGGGGGTGGCGGGGGGCCACACAGAGGCCTGCGGCCCCGCCCCAGGCCAGGCCAGCCAGGGCTGCAGACGCCTGCGCAGAGCAACAGCTGAAGGCACTTGAGGCGTCTTTCCACTCCTCCCGGCCAGGGGAGCCAGAAAAGCTCTCCCGAGTTTTAAAACTACCGGTCTGAGGCCGGGAACAGCAACTGGGCGCACCTGAACTCCACGGGGAGCCCTGGGGGTGGGGAGGAGCCGGGGCTGGCCTGGAGGCCTAGGGCTGTGAAGCTGGGCACAGGGAGGGCAGCAACAGGACATCGCGCTCGGTCTCCCGGGGAGGCGCTCAGCATCCGACCAGTCGCCGAAAAGCTGGCGACTTACTGACAGGAGGAAGGACAGGGCAGGTCCCTGCCCGAGAGGGCTCCTGGATGGTGTGGCTGCTGGGTCTCCCGCGTGGCTCGTGACTGGCCGGGCCCACGGGCACTCGAGGTCTCCGGGTACCTGGCCTGACCCAGAACCAGCTTTGGCCTGTAGCTTTTAGGCTTGAAGTTGGTGTTGTTGTGTGGATGTTAGGAACATTCCATTCTTTTTTTTTTTTTTTAAGATTTATTTCTGCATTACAGAACTGGGGCACAGCCAGAGGCGCAGGGGCTTCACCAGAGACAGAGCGGGGAGCAGAACAGGCCGACGGACGAAGACACTGCTGAGGGGAGCAGCGGGCGGGTCAGAGAGGTCTGCGACATCCTGTGGTCACCTCCGGATGTCACCTCTGTGGAGGGGTGGGCGGGACTGAACTCGTGCTGAAGCAGCTTTAGCTTCTTAAAGGGGTGCTTTAACCTGCTGCGCCACCAGGGCAGCCCGGGGCCATGCCAGTCCTAACGGGTGGGGTGCCCTCCTCGGACCGGGCCACGCCAGTCCTAACGGGTGGGGTGCCCTGGTCGGCCCGGGGCCACGCCAGTCCTAACGGGTGGGGTGCCCTGGTCGGCCCGGGGCCA